CTTTAACACATCAAATTCTAGTAAACTTCAGTTTTATCACATCTCCTGAAACCAAGTCCTGTCCTTTGAGGTGCTTTAAAAATCAGAAGTTCTCCACATAGCAAGCTTATGTGGAGATGGTTATACCATAACCAGCTTTTGGAACGTAGGAGGTATACGCAAAAATCATGTAGACAAGGGAAATACACACACATAAAGAGAGATTTAAAAGCTTACATTTAGAGACTTACATTTTGAAAAACTTATAAATATTCATAGGAAATTTTGCCTTTGCTGCTCTCCATCTTGCCCAACAATCTTAATACATTAAGCAGTGAACAAAACTATTGAAAAACACCTTTGATTTAGAACACTGCGACCCTTTAAAATTTGAGTAACTCATTAAACTTTTACTTGGAACCTGTTGCTCATGTAACCCGATACCATTATTCAGTGTCATTTCTATAAAAATCTACTGAATTTCTATAACCAAATGCTCTTCATACTCACTCCCAAATAACAAGATATGAATGCCCCTTTAATTTCAATTCAAGGTTCTGAACAGAGAAAATATAGAAAACCACACACAATTTAACTGGATTCTTCCAAATATGACAAAGAATTTAGGAGCAGTGTATGCAAATTAAATCCAAATTCACACTTGAAAAACAACATTTGGCCACATAATAAAATTTTTTCCAAGGTTTGTGTTTTTTTTTTTTTTTTAAATTAAAAGGAGGAGGGAGGAAGGGAGAGAGAGGAAGATAATTAATTAGTTATAAGTTGGAACTTACTCCCAAATGATTCAGAATTCAGTCAAGCTATGTTTATTATATAAGTTCCAAAACAGGTAATTGTTTCCAAAAGCATGGTAGCCTCTTTGGCAGAGGACAGAAAAGATTGAAAAGTCTCTAAAGAAGCTGAAAGTGGAAATAACAAAGAGAGGATTCCGTATTTACTGAGCTGCAGATGCACTTCGCACTGTTTTTAGTTACACAAACATCAGATCAAGATCACCGAAGGAAACTGGACTTCCCTACAGTTCTTTCCCTTGCCTTTTTTTCACCTATCACTTCCCCTTTAGTTTACTTCTCTTTGCCCAAGATGATCACTGTTTGAAGTAATCATCCAGCAATACAGGTGTTTCCTACAAAAACTTTTTCTTTATTCTAGACAAATGTCAGTCCCTAACTGTCATAAGGGCAATAGTTCAGTGTAGGATTGGAGGAGGATTATGACAACTTAGCAGCTGAGGATTTACCACTGAGAAATGATTCTGTAGGAAGAACACTTGTAAACCTACTTCCAAAAAACCCTAAAACTCCTTTTACAGATTGGTACTAAGTCAACATTTTGAAAGAAGGCATTGGCATATTAAAATCCAGGAAGCTGACAATTTAGGACAGTTTAAGAGAAGGACTAGCTGCACCTATCATTTTAGGATTAGATTAGTCATGCTTTTGCCACTTCCCTAAACAAGGTTTCCAGAAACTTAGACACACACTTTTAATTTCTCACAGTGGTCAGTCATAACGTTCAGTGTTCAGAACTGAATAGTCTTAGCAAAGCTCCAAGAAACCAAATCAAAACTATCAAGTCTCAAGATACAACTCACAAACGTAAAATTAAAAAAAAATAAAAAATAAAAAATGACATAATCATTAAGGTTGGACAGGACCTTTTGAGATCACTTCACCCAACCATTGTTACCCACAAACTCTGATGGAGAGTTACCCACAAACTCTGTATGGCTTCACATAATTGTTGTTCCTTACATTTTTTTTCCAAACTTCTCTCTGCAATACAGTCTAATTTTACCTCTGGGTCCTGGTTTATGTTTGTCTACAACTAATCTTAGTTGCCTGTTAACTCCAGCTTGATGTCTTACAGGACATCAAGAGACATCTGTGTTTATGCATTTTCATTAAGTTACCTTGACTATGAATAACAGCTTGCAAAATATGTGTCGGAAATTACAAAACGGAGGTACAGGAACAAATCATGAAGAATGTGGAGTTTTTGATGGAAATTCTAACTGCTCCTTCACTAACTATAAAATGAAGAACTGCTATATGAACAGAACTGTTTTGATCGAAAAGTTTAAAAATGTGGGGTTTTGGTTTTGGTTTTTGATAGAGGTATTCAAATAATTTTCAGTAAGACCACTCTATGTAAAGACAGAGCTTAGTATGAATTCCTTCATAGACTTCCCCCCTGAGCTGCACCACACACTAGCTAAATATTGTACTGCACAAAAGTACTCCCATCCCCATCAGACAGCTGTCAAAGAAACCACTGAAGTTTCCATTTCACTTTCAGTTTAAAATATATACACAAATTTATTAAAAACTGAAGTATTTGTCTCTCAGCAATGCTGCACTTGCATCACTGGTGAAGAAACAACATCGCCCTTCTTCCTCCAGAAGCTACGCAAGAAGACAAAACCAAGACTAGGGCTGGAAATGAGTCATATTGTTTCTAGACAATTCAACAAGGTGACAGGACAGCAACAAATTCTCTGAATCCAATTAACCATGAGAACTCTTTAGGTAGCTAAATATGTTCACTTGATCAACATTTCATCCTCCCGATGACACATCTAAACTAGTTCTTCCCACTTTTGCAGAAAAGATTTTATTTGAACACAAGTTGGCATGACAGGCAGAAATTAGACACCTGATCAAAACAGACTCACTTGTAGAACTCAAAATCCATTCTATTACACAGTTTTGTCTGCCCAAATGCACAACAGATGTAATTCCCATTTTATTTTGTGATTTCATTTCAGTCTTAGGTCTTTTAAAAGCAGGACTTTTGCGTTTATGCAGAGAAAATATGAAGGGCAATTTCCATTTCCAAATATTTTTGTCTCAGCCTTTGTTGCTGAGATGAAATAGTCTCAGCTGAAGAAAAGAAAAACAGAGAAGGAGTGAAAGGAGACCTTTACCAACAGCTACTGTTGGCTTCCCTTCTAGTGATCTTGATTGTTGTAGCATGTTTCATCTCTTCACCACCTACTTTGTTCATCCTAATGTTTAGGCACAGCAGCAGGATTACGTACAAACTACTGTAAGAACAGAAGTGAAGGATAAACTCTATTTTCATAAATTTCATCTTGACAACCAGTTGCCCTCAGCTAATTCAGGCCAGAAAATCAATGCTTGCAAGATTCCAGCTACTATGTATTACTTTTCTGCTCATGAAGTTCATCAACTATCTTTGTATCTAACCTGTTTTCTCTGCTGAAAGCTGTTGGTTTTGCACCTATTTTCATTCTCTGCACTAAGCCCAGGCCTATTTCTAATGCATCTGATGAGGATGAAGAGACATGACTTCTGAATTTTGTTGACATGCCCATCATCTCGATTTAAAAAATGCTGGAACACCATTTTTAGTGAGTAATTAGCTCAGGATTATAAAAAAAACTTCACAGTTGGTCTGAAAGAGATTAAGAACTGCCCATGCCTGACTACAGAGGGTAAGTCTCTGTCTGCCTGGGAAAGAGCATTAATGGATGAGGAAAACGGTACCAGCTCCCCCATTTAAGTACAAGCATTAGCTTTGCCAAATACCATAACATCGTATTATAACGCCATATCAAGACAACAGAACTTTCAGATCATAATGGTAACATATCCTCACCTTCCTCCCAGAGAATTAACAGAAAAATTTTCCAGTAAACATTGAGTATCACCAAGAAATGGAATGTGGATATATTATTTTAATTATTTCTACAGCTCTTGCATACCTTCTATTTTCCTCTTCATTACCAATAACAACTAACTGATCTCATAGCAATTCTTACTACTTCCTGGGAAGGAAGTGTCCTGTGATGTAAAATACTGAGCTAACATTGCATCACTGCTTAGGAATTTACATCACCTACTAATTAAGTTCTAAAACTTTAAGTTAATTGCTGTAAACGTCTTGAATACTGCTGTAAGAACTTGTTTTTCCCCTCCTGAAATAACACCCATCTCCCTCAAACCTCTGGTAGAACCAGAAAAGAGGTTTCCATTGCTGCTAGGAAATGCTCCCCAGGAGTGAAACTAACAACTGGCTTGATCCGACACAGCCCAAATCACTCAGCATTCTGCAAAGGGAGACCAAGAACAGCATTGGTCTGATTTTCATCTGTTAATGATCTTAAGACACATGTTGTTATCATGGCAGCTTTTATGGAAGCCTTCTCAACATTCTTTAATTCTTGAGCTTAAATTTTGTAAGTTGTCCAGTGTTGAGGGTACAATATTAGTAAAATTAAATGAAATATTTATAATTTTTGACATCTCTCCCACACTCCTTACCAAGCTCCATGAAACCAAGTTAAGTACACACACAGGACTATTGACAACTGTTCGTGAATGTTTCCATTATTTTGGAAGCTACACAAATTGCACATCATCATGCATCAACAACCAAGCCACAAGTCATTAAAGCACATCACTTATCCACAGCTATTAAGCCAAACTGGTTTGTTCACCCCATGTACGAGACATGGGCAACACTTGTTCCCTTACTATTCAGCTTCTAAAATTAGAAAGGTAACCCAACGTTGTCTGCACAAAATAGAGTGACTTGTTTCTTTAACACCTTCACAAAACACATTAATATCCCTAAAGGTTACTAGCTTGAAAGCTGCACGTAAGTTACACAGCCACTTTAGCAATAATCTCGTTTTCATTAGATTTGGTACAAATTTTACCACTGCTGTCAGTGGAAACAGCATTTTCTACTCTTGAAACAGGGATTAGGTGAAAGCAAGTGGTGAGATAACCTGATTTTTTGCATTTTCAACAAGAGAGCTGGACATTAATCATAGCTACAATTTCACCTTTTCATTTGACTTGGATTTTTTTCATAGATTTTGATTCAGCTGATTAAAAACTAAGTCAGTTTTAAAATGTCTATAGCAATTCTTGGCATTTTTATTTTTGGTCCGCAAACCGACTGTGGGAAAAATACTGCTTTGCAAGTATAAAACTAAAGCAAACTTCCTGGTGACTTGACACAAGCCTTACCTGCATCATAGTGACCACGTGACAGGGATTCAGGAGGTAAATGACAGTCCTGGTGGCAAACTTGAAGCCCACCTCGAGCCCAAAGGTGAGACAGAGCACTACCAGCAGCACGTTCTTGCCCAAGCTTTCCTGCTTATTCTGGGGCTGCTGCAGCAGCAGATGACTCTCCAGTTCCCTGGAATGCAGCTGCCTGAGCTTCCACAAGGACAGAAGGATCTCCATGACGCCCACACTGAGGAAGACCAAACTCTCCAGAAAGCGCTGCTGCCCTGAGAGAAAGGCTGCGCATTCTGGCCCTCCGTTACCAGCAAAGCTGGGGTCCACACCCCCATACATCCAGTCCAGGAGATTATGGAGGCTGTAACGAGACATGGTGGGACGGTGCCTCTTCTCCTCCCCGTCACTATCCAGGAACAGGTAGGAACAAGATGGAATCAAAGCCAAAATGCTGCCGGGCTGACGAAACATGAAATGCAAGGACGGCCGGGCTGCAGTCCCCTTCCTTCCCGAGTTTCAGGAGAAGCAGGGAACTCAGCTCGGGGCAAGGCTCAATTTTTGGCTTTTCCCTCCGA